GGATTGCCTGAGGGAAGAAACTGTTCCTGTGTCTGGTCGTTCTGGTGCTCAGTGCTCTGTAGCATCGACCAGATGGCAACAGTTCAAAGAGGGAGTGTGCTGGATGTGAGGGGTTCAGAGTGATTTTTCCAGCCCTTTTGCTCACTCTGGAAGAGTACAGATCTTGGAGAGAAGGGAGGGTTGTACCAATGATTCGCTCAGCAGTCCGGACTACCCTCTGTAGTCTTCTGAGGTCAGATTTGGTAGCTGAGCTGAACCAGACAGTTATAGAAGTGCAGAGGATAGATTCAATGATAGCAGAGTAGAACTGTTTCAGCAGCTCCTGAGGCAGGTTTGTGGGACATGTGATGTGCTGTCTGTATTTTGGCAGTTCACGGGAGAGATTGGCTTTATTACAGTCCCCGAGAATGATTAAACCAGAGTCCGGGTGTTGTTATTCTGTCTCTGTGATCTGATCAGCGAGTTTCTGTAAAGCGGAGCTCACGTGCGCTTGCGGAGGAATGTAAATACATAGATTCATCCTGAATCCGCGCTGCCTGAGCTTCACGAGCGCGCCGGCTCGCTTCCCCCGTCTGCGCGTCCTGAAGTGCTTGATCAGCGCCGCTGCTCCCCCGACTACAATGTCCAGCAAAACATCAGAATAATCGAAAACCGGTGAAATATCGGGTGGTGTGTACTGCCGAATGTCCAGCAATTCGTCTCTGGTGAAACTGATTGCAGGGATATAGCTAAAGACAAGACAAACTAACAAAAACATAAAAACAACTGCAGAGCACGCCACGGAGGCAGCCATCATCGTCGGCGCCATCTCAGTAGCAGTTCATTCACATGAACGTATAAGCGTTAAAAACAAGAAAATGCCCTGGAGCTATCCAGCTGAAGATAAAAAAAACCCATCTAGTATTCTTGATGTTCAGACAACAAAACAGACAAAGACTTCAGAATGAGGCATTAGAATATACTAAACTCTTTGAAGCTGAGTTAAATTTAAGTCCCACTCATATAAACACTTTGGCTTGCAGACTATTTGCTTTGTTTTCGATGGCTAGGACTAAATGTGGTTGGCCTGTCTCTTTCACTCGTTTCAAACATAATTTTTTTCTCTAACATACCAAATGTTCTCAAAAACGGCATCAGGAAGGCACAAGTCACACAACATCTCCCTTTATGTGGACAGATATCCAGCTGCTAGAGGGCAGAGTAACTTTGGTGCCAGACCTATTGGAGTCTCCTCCTTTTGTCTAGCTATTTTATGGGATCCCAAACAGTCCCAGGCCAGGGGTTAATTAGGGAGGGATGGGTCTGTCTGTAGCCAATTACAGCTCTTTGTCACATTCCCTGACCTCTATTGCCTCTAAAGTCTAAGTGACTGAGTTTTAAACTACAGTGAAAGCTTAAGATCTACTTCATTAAATGGATATTTCACCCAAAAATGAAAATTCTGTCATCATTTATTTACCGTCATGTCATTCCAAACTTGTATGACTTGATGTTTTCTGTAAACAGAGATATTTTGAAATGATATTTTTTTTCCAATGATTTGGACCCCATTGCCTTTTATTGAGTGGACAAAAACAATTGCAAAATATCTTCTTTTATTTTTCACAGAAGAAAGAAAGACAAATTTTTCATTTTTGGATGAATTAGCCCATTAAAACGTCAGAACACCTAACTTGTGTAAAGATATATTGGAAAACAAAACAAAAAAACAAAACATAAAAATAAAACACAAAAGCAAAACAAAACATAAATAAATAAACCACAAAACTAAAAGAAAACACAAAACAAGAAAGAACTAAACAAAACACACACACACACACACACACACACACACACACACACACAAAAAGCAAAGCAATACAAAACAAAACAAAAAACAAACAAAAAAACTAAACCATAAACTATGCAAATATTTATTGCACAGTACCTAAATGGGAAGGTTCTGGCACCGAAATTGAGGCCAAAGAAAGTTTCTGTGCAATTTTCCGTAGCCAGGTAGATCAGAGTACCTTTTCTACTTCTAAGAACGTGAAGAAACGTGTGGCTTCTGTTCATAACTGTTAACACTGCGGTGCTATCACAGATCTTCCACTCCAGATTTTCCACTCAGTTAAACTCACGCAGATCCATAAGAAACACGCAGACACAAGCATCAACATATCTCTCCCTCTCACTTCTACAGATAAGCTCAAGAGCAAAAACAAAGAAACTCTTAGACAAAACAACCCAAATATTCATAGAATGATAAGATCATTTGTGAGACATGACTTAGTAGCACAGCCTAACCAATTACTGAGAGACAGAGAGAGAAAAAAACCTGAATCACTGAGGTAAAGGTAATTGAATGTCATTAATAAACATGAATTTATGCAACTGCACTCATTAGTTTTTGGTCAAATTGCTTCTATGCAGTTTGTTGTATCACAAACGTTATCTTCCAGCTGCTTTCTGGGTACTTTGATGTAATAATCAACATCTCTGTACCCAATTCTGTCACTTCACATGTGTGAATGTCTGTGCTAGCGGTCTGTGGCTAATTACAATATCAGACCATGTTTCCTAGAAGCAACCAGTGGGGTTCTTCCAGTGAGACTCGCCTGCTGTTTTTCAAGGAATTCAAGACCAATATGAAAGAAGAAAAATGGAGAACCTTGAGTGATTCATGATATTTTCTCTGATCTCATCTGGTATACACACTGCAATCAAGGACGGGGATCTAAAATAGCTTTTATTACATCTCGATGACTACTAGGTTAAAGAATCCACTGCACCTGGGAATAGGTATTCAGCACATAATGAGAAACTAAAGCTCTGCAGGCTGGAATCGGTTCAGGTCTTTATGAACCTGTAAATCTGAATGAGTGTTACTAAATAACTGAAGAGTTTTTATAGCGTATTTATAGCAATGACACATGGCCAAGTGTTAACTCAAACTGTGCAATTATTCACAGAATATGAATGATAAGGAATGAGAATTTATTGCAATGAGAGTTTTAAGGCTGAATTAATTTTAACAATGTGCTCAGTTCTAGTTTGACCTGCGTAAGAGCACGGCACATAAACCAAAATTTCAGTACTGTCACGAGGATAAAAATAAAATCAAGTCTGATTAAGCTCAAAGAAGCTTGAGACTATAATCAAATTCATTCAATTAACTCTACATTCTCATTCTGGTTTGAAACTTTATTTTCTTAGTAGGAGGATTTCCTGTGTCAATTAGATCTGATCCCTTAATTGTGTTAGAATAAAGCTGAAGGAGGACAAAATAATGTTAATAAAAGCTTATGCACTACCCTTTAAAAGGTCAGTGTGATTTTATTTCTAAAAGAAATCTCTTATTCCCAGCAAGGCTGCATTTATTTGATCAAATATTCAGTGAATATTAAAGTTAAATAATACTGTGAAATATTATTACAATTTAAAATAACAGTTTTATTTTAATATTTTTTTTAATGTAATTTATTTCCGCGATGAATTGATAGCTGCTGCATTTTTCAGCAACCATCACTCCAGTTTTCAGTCTCACATGATCCTTCAGATATCCCTTTAATATGTTGATTTGGTGATCAAGAAACTTTTTTGATTGTTATTATTTCTGATTAAGTTAAAAACATTTAAGCTGTTTAATATTTTTAATGAAATGTATTTTTCAGGATTTAAGTTCAAAAGAATAGCATTTATTTGAAATAAAAATGATCTATCTTTTGATTAATTTAATGCATCATTGCTGAATATAGGTATTAATTTATTTAAAAAAGAGAGTTCAGATGCAAAAGCCTCTAAGTACCGTCTGAACTTTTCATCTAAAATGAGCAGTTTTATCAGGCCCCTATGTTTAGGTTCAGTAAATTTGTTCTAATATGGCAATGTATAGGTCATTTTCTATGCAATTAAACTGAAATAACTAAACATAAATATAGGAGCCTGATAAAAATGCTCATTTTAGAAGAAAATTTCAGACGGCACTTAGAGGCTTTTGCATCTGAACTCTTAATATATAGTTTTGAAAAATCTTACTGACCCCAAACTTTTGAATGTGTATGTATATACGTTTCTGTTGATAGTCTCCTAATTACTATATCAGATCTCTCATCTGTAGAGCTGTGACAGTTCTGCAAGCCAAAAGCACAGATTGTTGCTGTGATTCCAGCTGGATCATTTCTGCTATTTTGATATGAAGCCGAAAACAATCAGCTGAATTTTATATTAATTTGGTGGGCTTGTTAAGTTGACTTCTAATCCAAATATGCAAATATTGGTTCAAGAAGCTGATAAAACCATGTTAAACTGTGAGACATTTTAGAGATGTTCTCTGAAATATACCAACAAAACAGTAAAGAAAACTGCATTCATCAAAGCATTGCATTATGCCATTAAAAGAAGTAATGTAAAAAATGTATTAAAAAAAAACATATATTTTTAAGAAATTAGACATAAACTAGATTTATAGTTAGACTAATGACAGTTAGACAATGCAAGGATGTCACTCTTACACCCTGGTTTCCCGTTTAACAAGCCACCAAAGGAACATCCAAGAACGCACTGCTTAGTCATGATTGAAACTATTTGTTTCCATATCAGCTGATGTCTCGGATGTGCATGGTTGTCTGGTTTTGTCATTAACTACATGTTTGCCACCGACTCTCTCTGTGCATAAGGA